TCATCGAAAAAGTTTCGATTTTCGCACCGACCTCGATTTGGAAAAAAATCGTGATGATTTGGAAGGTCATATCTCCGCGCGGAGCTATGTCGTTTTGGAACGTCATATCTCCCCGCGGAGCTATTACGCAAGATATTAAAGAAAATCATCAAAAAAGTTTCGATTTTCACACCCATCTCGATTTTGAAAAAAATCGTGATGATTTGGAAGGTCATATCTCCGCGCGGAGCTATGTCGTTTTGGAACGTCATATCTCCCCGCGGAGCTATTACGCGAGATATTAAAAAAAAAATCATCGAAAAAGTTTCGATTTTCGCAAAAAAAAATCGTGATGATTTGGAAGGTCATATCTCCGCGCGGAGTTATGTCGTTTTGGAACGTCATATCTCCCCGCGGATCTATTACGCGAGCTATTTAAAAAAAAAAATCATCGAAAAAGTTTCGATTTTCGCACCGACCTCGATTTTAAAAAAAAATCGTGATGATTTTGAAGGTCATATCTTAGCGCGGAGTTATGTCGTTTTGGAACGTCATATCTCCGCGCGGATCTATTACCCGAGATATTACAAAATAATCATCGAAAAAGTTTCGATTTTCGCACCGACCTCGATTTTGAAAAAAAATCGTGATGATTTGGAAGGTCATATCTCCGCGCGAAGTTATGTCGTTTTGGAACATCATATGTCCGCGTGGAGCTATTACCCCAGATATTAAAAAAATATCATCGAAAAAGTTTCTATTTTCGCACCGACCTCGATTTTGAAAAAAAACGTGATGATTTATTTGGAAGGTCATATCTCCGCGCGGAGTTATGTCGTTTTGGAACGTCATATCTCCGCGCGGATCTATTACCCGAGATATTAAAACGAAATCATCGAAAAAGTTTCGATTTTCACACCGACCTCGATTTTGAACAAAATCGTGATGATTTGGAAGGTCATATCTCCGCGCGGAGCTATGTCGTTTTGGAACGTCATATCTCCGCGCGGAGCTATTACCCCAGATATTAAAATAATATCATCGAAGAAGTTTCGATTTTCGCACCGACCTCGATTTCGAAAAAAAATCGTGATGATTAGGAAGGTCATATCTCCGCGCGGAGTTATGTCGTTTTGGAACGTCATATGTCCGCGTGGAGCTATTACCCCAGATATTAAAACAAAATCATCGAAAAAGTTTCGATTTTCGCACCGACCCCGATTTTGAAAAAAAACGTGATGATTTGGAAGGTCATATCTCAGCGCGGAGTTATGTCGTTTTGGAACGTCATATCTCCCCGCGGAGCTATTACGCGAGATATTAGAAAAAAATCATCGAAAAAGTTTCGATTTTCGCACCGACCTTGATTTAAAAAAAAAATCGTGATGATTTGGAAGGTCATATCCCCGCGCGGAGTTATGTCGTTTTGGAACGTCATATCTCCGCGCGGATCTATTACTCGAGATATTAAAAAAAAAAATCATCGAAAAAGTTTCGATTTTCGCAAAAAAAAATCGTGATGATTTGGAAGGTCATATCCCCGCGCGGAGTTTTGTCGTTTTGGAACGTCATATCTCCCCGCGGAGCTATTACGCGAGATATTAAAAAAAATCATCGAAAAAGTTTCGATTTTCGCACCGACCTCGATTTGGAAAAAAATCGTGATGATTTGGAAGGTCATATCTCCGCGCGGAGTTATGTCGTTTTGGAACGTCATATCTCCACGCGGAGCTATTACGCGAGATATTACAAAAATTCATCGAAAAAGTTACGATTTTCACACCCACCTCGATTTTGAAAAAAATCGTGATGATCTGGAAGGTCATATCTCAGCGTGGAGCTATGTCGTTTTGGAACGTCATATCTCCCCGCGGTGCTATTACGCGAGATATTAAAAAAAAAAATAATCGAAATAGTTTCGATTTTCGCACCGACCTCGATTTTGAAAAAAATCGTGATGATTTGGAAGGTCATATCTCAGCGCGGAGTTATGTCGTTTTGGAACGTCATATCTCCCCGCGGAGCTATTACGAGAGATATTTAAAAAAAATAATCGAAAAAGTTTCGATTTCCTCACCGACCTCATTTTGAAAAAAATCGTGATGATTTGGAAGGTCATATCTCCGCGCGGAGTTATGTCGTTTTTGAACGTCATATCTCCGCGCGGATCTATTACCCGAGATATTAAAAAAAAAAATCATCGAAAAAGTTTCGATTTTCGCAAAAAAAAATCGTGATGATTTGGAAGGTCATATCTCCGCGCGGAGTTTTGTCGTTTTGGAACGTCATATATCCCCGCGGAGCTATTAGGCGAGATATTAAAAAAATATCATCGAAAAAGTTTCGATTTTCGCTCCGACCTCGATTTTGAAAAAAATCGTGATGATTTGGAAGGTCATATCTCCGCGCGGAGTTATGTCGTTTTGGAACGTCATATCTCCCCGCGGAGCTATTACGCGAGATATTAGAAAAAAATCATCGAAAAAGTTTCGATTTTCGCACCGACCTTGATTTAAAAAAAAAATCGTGATGATTTGGAAGGTCATATCCCCGCGCGGAGTTATGTCGTTTTGGAACGTCATATCTCCGCGCGGATCTATTACTCGAGATATTAAAAAAAAAAATCATCGAAAAAGTTTCGATTTTCGCAAAAAAAAATCGTGATGATTTGGAAGGTCATATCCCCGCGCGGAGTTTTGTCGTTTTGGAACGTCATATCTCCCCGCGGAGCTATTACGCGAGATATTAAAAAAAATCATCGAAAAAGTTTCGATTTTCGCACCGACCTCGATTTGGAAAAAAATCGTGATGATTTGGAAGGTCATATCTCCGCGCGGAGTTATGTCGTTTTGGAACGTCATATCTCCGCGCGTCGTTTTGGAACGTAATATCTCCGCGCGGATCTGTTACCCGACATATTAAAAAAAATCATCGAAAAAAAATTTTGAATTAAGCACTTATGATAAAAAAAGGAACTTAAATAGCATTACAGAAAAAAGTCGCAATAACCATGCTGTTAAAATGCGAAGCAGACGCGCATGAATGTGTGTTTGTACATGTATACAGAAATCTTAAGGATGCTGCTCTATTCAATTGCGCAGTTGCATATAACTTTGGTTTTTTTTAACCGATCTTTATGAAATTTTCTACAGTATATCTTATAGTCCCATAGAATATTTGTGTATTCTGAAAATGTCAATTGCATTTAAATTGTGGTTTAAATTGGTTGGCAATAAAAGTTGGGTTATTAACTTGATTTATAGCTTTAGGGTGGTCGCGGGGAGGTGGCGATAGGTATGAAATGAAAGATACTTTAAATATCTATAATAGCTCTAGCTCTTATTATATACCCAATTTGCTAAAAAACACAGGATGTCGATATCGATTTTTATCGATTGCTTGGAAACGGAGTAAGTTATCGATTATCGGAAACAAACTCGATCTGCGCGGGAACTAGGAGCACCTACATTTAAAAAAAATTCTCTAGCTTATAGGTTCTGAGATCCTTGCGTTCATACATACGGACGGACGGACAGACAGACGGACATGGCTAGATCGACTCGGGTATTGATGCTGATGAAGAATATATATACTTTATGGGGTCGGAGATGCTTCCTTCTGCCTGTTACATACATTTGGATTTTGAATAAATACAATATACGCTTATACCCATTTTTAATGGGTTTAAAAAAAAGTGGTTCACAAATCTCTTTTTGCATTGAAAAACAAGTAGAATTAAATTAAATACCCCATTAAGATAGGTCGAGTTGAACAAAAACCTGAATGTAAATAAAAAACCAAATAGATTAAATAAGAATGTAGATTGTGTGAAAGGGTAATGCAAGCCTTGGCTTTGCTTTGCGCATTATTAAAATGACATGGCGGCTTAAGTTTTTTTTTGCGACAGTTAATCAAAATAAGATCAATAATGGCTTTCGATTTCCCAATTTCGTAATTTACAAAGATATTAGACACGCACAGAGATTAAAGAGCGAACCCATATCTGAAAGGGTTTACCTATTAATTCGAGAATATATACTAAAAAAGCAACCGATATTTGATTAAAGGTTTAATTTGCATTCGTCAACGTTTAATTAAAAGTCGCTCAATTTAAAGTGCATATATATTTTCAATATAGATAAATTCCATGCCAGCTAAAAAAAATTGTAAATAAATTATTTGTCGAAACCCTTTTAATCCCCAAAATGGTTTTTTGCCTGTTTATTTGCATTATATCAAATTTTTTCACGCAAATTTCGTATTTACAGATAAAAAGTAATTTCCCAAATGGAAGTTAAGCTGACAGTCAAATATTGACAGCAACAAAAAATATATACCCTATTATCTATTAATTCAACATCAAGATCTCATTATGAGCGAGTCTCTGTAACAATCTCAGAGCTCTCTTGGCATTCTATTACAGTTGATGCCTTTAAATTTGTAAGATATTCCAATGAACCATATTGAAACTGCAACAGACTTTAAATGTTGCAGTATCTCAACGGAAGTCGCACGAAAGCGGGAAAAACCATTTTTCATCCACAATAGTCTTCTTTCCAAATTTGTTTTGCCTTGCCCCCAGAGTGTGAGTCCATATAATATTTATACTTTAACTGTACGGATATACACGAGCATATTTATATATATATATAGAAAATTTCAATAGATTCGAAAAAAGGCATTCATGCGCAAAGTTGGACGGACAACATATTATGAGTATAAAAATGAAACTAAACGTAATGCCAATAAAATTATATTTTATATTATATGTGTTTTGTTGAGCCCATAGAGTTAGGCAAAATTACAGAATAATTGACAGTAGCTTAATGTGTATTTAATTTTCGTTTAAAATAATATTAATAAACGAATGCAAGTGAAGTGAAAATCATGCAGTCGATGCTGAAATTACCACGATGTCGGGCAGATGGAATATGTTTTGGCTATTGCTGCCAATTCTGCTAACAATAAAACTAAATGTGCGAATCAAAAGGTCATATCTAATTTTGTATATATTTACAGAGCGGAATCGTCTTCAAGATGACGAACGCTGTTTGCGAGAGCCACAATAAATCCTGGGTGCTAATCGACACCTGTCGACTGCGAGCTTTGCAGCGCAACAAAACCGTCCTGAATGTGTTCCTAACTTTGCTGCATCCATCGAATTCTGTCCGAATCGAATATCAAGTTAACAAAAGAGCCAACGGCTACAAGCCTTGGGTAGTTAACGGAGAATTTGATGTATGTAGACATATGCGAAGACCAAAAGATAAATTTGGCGACCTACTTTTTGCTCTAATCGGCGAATTTACATCAATTAATCATCCCTGTCCATATGACGTGAGTAATATTTTACGTTTTGAATATATTAAGAGATAATAATTCCTGTTTTATAGGGAATAAACTACTTAAAAAATTTTTATCCAAGAGCTGATAGGCTACCCCTTATATTGCCAACTGGTGAATATGTTTTACTAATGAATTGGAAATTTTATGGAAGAACTCAATTCTTTACTAATGTGTACTTTACATTTGTGGAGAATTTTTAAATTGTAACTTCAGACACGGGTTTTCAAATTGCACAACTGATTGTTCTATTACTTTTCAGTGTAATTATATATAAATACGCTGATTAAAAATCGTTTATGCCTATTCAAGCGTAACTAACGCAGCTTTTTTTAAAGTGGAAATTATCTCTATATGCATAGTGCATAGTATAAAAACCTTCGTTTTTGTTCTACACAATTATTTAGTTTATTGAACGGAATGCAATTCTACAAATCCAATTTTAACACATTTGAAAAGCGCGCCAGAACGGAGAAAAACGGTTAATTGCAGTAGTTCGATATATCGTATTATACGGCCGATAGCAACATGCATTTATCGAAGAGTGCAATTGAACTAGTTCACAGCAGAACTAACTCTATTGATTACTAAAACAAAAAGAATTTGGCAAAACCATTTGGTATTGCTGCAAAGCTGCTTGACAATTTTATAGTTATCATTAAAAGCAGCAAGCATGGATGTCATCAACAAATTCTACTCGTCCGCCGTGCATACCGTCTCGCAGCTGTCGGGTGTGCTGCCTGGCAATAATGTAACACGGGAATACGAAGTATTGGACCAGATTTGCACAGCGGGTGTGGGTAAGGGCAGGAATTATGCACTGACATATGCCCATCCAGCTAATCGGTACAAAACCATTTTACATCTTTAGGACTCATGTGGAAGGTCTACAATGGCCACAAAAAGAGCACCAAGCAGGAAGTCTCGGTCTTTGTGTTTGAGAAAAAGGTACTGGAGCGCTGGTCAAAAGACGACCGGGAAACAATGTTGGAGACGCTGCGCCGAGGCGTTCAGCAGCTAACAAAAATACGACACCCGCATGTCCTAACCGTGCAGCATCCGCTGGAAGAGAGTCGCGATTCTCTGGCCTTTGCCACGGAGCCAGTTTTTGCATCGCTCGCCAATGTGGTTGGGGACTCGGTGCGTTCGGAAAAGAAGCTTTACGATGTGGAAATACGCCACGGTCTGCTCCAGCTGTTTGATGGCCTGCAATTCCTGCACAACGATGCCAAGATAGTGCATCGCAACATCAGCGCCGAAACGATTGTGATCAACAAGAACCGCAGCTGGAAACTGTTTGGCTTCGATTTCTGCATAGCCAATCAGCCATCAACAAATGGCACTCCTCACTGGCCATGTAGGGAGTACAGCACATCCCTGCATGTGCTGGCCCAGCCAAGCTTAGAGTATACAGCGCCGGAGCTGGCTTTAAACACTGTTAATACGCCGGACAGTGACCTTTTCTCGCTGGGTAAGCGCACTTTACTGATTCTTATCAATATCAATGACTGTACAATTACAACATTAGGTGTGCTCATCTTCACAATTTACTCGGGCAAACCGCTGAAAATGTTTGGAAGCGATTACAGTGGATTTCGGCGTTACGCCAACGAGTTAAATCAGCGCAAGTACCCGCCCATGAACACAGTACCGAGCGAGCTAACCGAAAGTCTTAAAGCACTGCTGCATCCCAGCGCCAGTTTGCGGCCTAAGTTGCACGAGCTGAAATCGATTGCTTACTTTCAGGACGTGGGCGTCAAGACTCTCAGCTATTTGGACTCACTTTATCAGTGGGACAATCTGCAGAAATCAAAATTCTACAAGGGTCTGCCGCAGATAATACCCACGCTGCCGCATCGCGTGAATTTGCACTCGATATTGCCCTATCTGATCAAGGAGTTCGTCAACTCGCCTATGATTCCATTCGTGTTGCCCAATGTGCTACTGATTGCCGAAATGAGCAGCCAGCGCGAATACTGCGATCACATACTGCCACACTTGAAGCCCATTTTCAAGCTGACGGATCCCATTCAGATCCTTCTGATATTTATGCAGAAAATGGATTTGCTTCTCAAGCTAACGCCGGCAGAGGAAGTTAAGCAGAGTGTGCTGCCCCTGCTCTACCGTTCACTGGAGTGCGATATGCCGCAAATACAGGAGCTGTGCCTGGGCGTGCTGCCTACCTTTTCCACTCTCATCGATTATAATGCCATGAAGAACGCCGTCATACCGCGTATTAAAAAACTCTGTCTGCTTAGCAACAATGTTTCGGTTAAGGTGAACTGTCTTATATCGATTGGCAAGCTATTGGAGAACCTGGACAAGTGGCTGGTGCTAGACGAGATTCTCCCATTTTTGCAGCAGATACAGAGCCGAGAGCCTGCAATTGTAATGGCTATAATAGGTGGAATTCTTTACACTTAACTATGTTTTTCCAAATTATTATTTCTATTAAATCTTCTTTGTAGGCATTTATAAAATCGCCATGACGAACACAAAGCTGGGTATCACAAAGGATGTAATGGCGCACAAATGCATACCGTTCCTGGTGCCGCTGAGCGTAGAAAATGGACTGACCATAGCGCAATTCAATACCATCGTTGCGCTAATCAAAGAAATGCTGGGTAGAGTGGAGCAGGAGCAACGTGAAAAGCTCCAGCAATTGTCTACAATACAGCGGGACAACAAGTAAGTTTTGAATACTTGAGTACAACACTTCATTCCAAACAATACTGCCACATATAGACCCAAGGATGCTTCCGAGATACTGGCCAATGAGTTGGACAATGCTACGCTCTCGCCTTCAAGCAGCTATGGTGCTAGCAATGGTAATAAGAGCGACGATGATATGTTCTCCGGCTTCAGCGTGGGTCAGCCAGCGAGCGCTGCGACACCAAAAGCTACCCCAACAGCACTGGCGCCTGTCAAAACAAGGGAGCAGCTCAAGTAGATGATGCAATCTGCGCTGAAAACCGAACAAAATTAAGTCAATATCTTATATTTTCAGAATAACGCACAATACAACGACAGAGACAACATCGAAAACGGACATGTTTTCATTAATGCAAAGCAACCTGAGCAGCCTAAGCACTGTCCAGAGCACACCAGCAGCAGCTGTTCCACAGCTCACCATGCCCTTCAATGCGAGCAGCAACAATAGCAACAATTGGCATAGCGCAAATCCGCTGGTCATGAATCATCAGCTAGCCTCACCGCAGGCCAGCAGCAACAACAATTTCTCCTCGCTGGACGACTTAGATCCATTTGGTTCTTCTGGTGCCGCCAGCCAGACTGCCAAGCCCAATAATGCAAATGGTGCCAATATGTATACACTGCAGCAACCCACGGTTAACTACATATATCCAACCGGCTACAATGCATCAAACAGCATGAGCAGCATGCAGCCGAGCATCGGTCTAAACAAGCCAATGATCATGGGTGCAGCTGGCACGGCCACGCCCACGCTGATGCCACAGATGACCCAGTCACCGGATAGCAAGAATCTTAACACGTTGTCGCAACAAGACATACTTAACTTCTTGAACTAGACACATCATTCCCGCGACAGCCTACCGAGCATGTCTGCCAAATAGCCAATGTTTTAACTAACTATTCCGTACTATATATATATATATATTTAAATTATAAATGAGTGTATGTGCAATTGTGTGTCTGTGTATGTGCGTGTGATTGTGTGAGTTAGTGTTTTTAAGCAGTTTTGAAGTTTTGCTCGTTGTATCATTCAACAAATATCAATTTTAAAAGTGAATGTGCATAATTTATTGTTAGTCTAGGCAAACAGTCAAGCAACCTATTATATATAGAGTACATCTAGATGTGTATTGTGCAATTTGCTCCTTAGTGTATCTCAGTGTACACAAGCTAGTTAAAATATACTTATTATCAATTAAAAACAGCCAACTATAATTTATTGTAATTTATTTGTATTCTCTCATTCTCTATACTTTACGTAATATGAATCTACAACAATTTAAAGTATAACAAAGCGCTCTTTTTACATTAATACATTCATTTGCCGGACTGGGCTCACAGAGATTCCTACAACTAGAAGCTAAGTAACAATTTAGCATGGCAAAGCTGAAGACGACAATAGTCTAGGTCTCGACTAGGATGTGCGTGAAGAGACTATGCATTCGGCGTTCCACCTCCTTGTAGACAAGCGAGTTGAGGCCATCGGTGTGCATACGCAGTGAAGCGGATCGCAGCAATGCCATTCGATTTTCATTTGGTATCGCGTGTTTGTGCTTTAACATTGTGTACTCACTGTACGCCGGATCAAAGCGGCAGATCTCGATGCCCACGACTTTGAGGCGCTCGTACAGATCGTCGTCCTCGCCGCCCCAACCATGGTACAGATTCGACATGCCGTTTATCATTGTAAACTGGGAGGTACTTATCGCCACAACGCCACCAAATAGTGTGCGATATGGCAGATGAAAGCGCCAGCTGTCCAGCGCTGAGCTCATGTGCCTTGGCTGAACTGTGCATGCGTAAATCTGACCGGAGTTCAATGGCATTAGGTCCACGTCGTGCAGTATTAAGCAAGGATAACCATAGCTTTCCGCCACTTTGGCGCCTATGTTGAAGAGCATGGCCCGATTAAAAGGTTTCCGGTCGCTTTGCTCCACCACAAAAATTCGATAATGGATTTGCTGCAGGCGCAGATAGTTGTGCATATAGTTGAGAAATGCGACCAGCTGCTCCTGCCGATCCCGATACGGTACAATAATCGCAGTACTGAAACGTGCACGGCATTCATCCGGCTGATATTCACCGCCAAGCCGTATTTCCTGCCCGCGCAGAATAGCCGCACGATGCGCTGCATCGTAGACAAAAGTGCTATCAGCTAGCACCTCCTTGTAGCTGCAATCGATTGCCTGCTGCGATGAGATATTCGAAACGGTTGCCGAAAGAAGAGCCTCCTCAATGTGCTCCTTATCGATGTAGTCATAGCGCAGGGCGAATCGATGAGGCAGTAGAATGTAGACGAGGATGGTTAGCGCGCCGCTGAATAGAAGCAAGTCGTATATATGAAAACTGTGCTGGCACAGTCTTAATATCATTATTCACTGTTATAGTATTAACGGAAGTTGAATGCTACGGTACATAGTTGTAGCTTATTAAATATTTTTGTACTATTTGGATGTGAAAACACGAAAAACAAGCACAACAGTATGCAGCTGGCCAACACGGCAAGTAACAGAAACAATTTAATGTTGGCATTAACATAGCATAGCATGGCAAAATGTTATTAACAGCGGCAGTTTATTTCTTCCCCAAAAAATTCCAGTTAGCTGTTAAATTTTTAAATATTCACATATGTTTTTTAATATTAATAAACGTTTGCTGGAAATAAAAAATTTCAATTGATTAATTTTATAGGTTGTAAGCTAAGAAGTGAAAATTTCTCAAATTTGACTTAACATTTGATAATTAACACCAATCAAGTGGGCACACAACCAGAGATCAGCTGTTTCGATCGTTAATCGCAGTTAGATTCTGTCTTCTCACTGTTTTCAAAGGTCAATGCACGCCTACAATTTTTTTCGTTTTCCAACACCTTACATTTTGTACTTAATACGATTTTTTGTGTGGGCTGTCGCTTGGTTTAGATTCTCATACTACCTGAAAGCTGATTTTATGTATTATTAATTACATGTTATATATTTGCTAAAACTGATGTAAATAAGCAAATACGAAGTAATGCAACATATTTATAAGGTAACCCAAAACTGGACAGGCTAAATTATATTAACATCTTAAAACATATAAACACATACCCATTTCGGTTGATAACGCAGCAGTCGATAAGATATGCACTTTCAGCTCGAGGCAGTTATTCATCAGACGTCTAGTTGCGAACACTTATGTCTATTTTAGCCACAGAATGTGCACCGCATTTAAATGTTCTGTTTACATAGCTGTATACTGTGTATACCTTCTGGGCTTGAGTGCCGAAGAGGGCCAGCTACTGCGACGTCAGTAAGAGAATAAACTTGTTAATCGCTGACAAATGTTTTTAAATTAGCCCGCTTATAACAGTTAAGAACTGTACGATGCAGGGAGAATGCCCGGATCACGCCATATGCACAAGGGTCGTAGACAATTTCGGCTGCATCTGCTGGCAGGGATATCATCTGAATCCCAACTGGTCTGCTAGCGACCTGGACAATACCGACTGGGATTATTGTGTCCGTGAGCCGGCAAACAAGACTGTAATCGTCCACAATCGCCTGCCAGCAAAAAGCGAACACCTGGCCGTCGCTATTCTGCTGGTTTTATTTGGGGTAATTGTTGTGACCCTGGTACTTTACTGTTTCGTTGCACTCCGTCCAATTAGCCGCACTCGTGCTGCTTACCGCCGTATGCAATTGAGACGTTCCAATCATCGCCGGCTTCAGGAGTTTGATGATATTGACATGACATTTCGCGACACACATACCGCGGATTGTCTTGATTGAATAAAGTTAACGATAATGCATCGAGTGAAAGACTGCAATTACCAAATAGTTTTTCATATACTACACAGCCAGTACTACAATCAACTTAAAGATATCAACGATATCTCTCTATTATCGTAAACATTTAACCATACTCTCTCATTATAAACGAAAAGTGGAAAAAGTACACAACTGATAAAAATTCTAACTATTAAATAAGTTTCTATATTGCCCAAGGTAAATTAATTTTGGTATTCTTCCGTTAGTGTTTGGCCTGTCCTTTATGTTATAATTACGCCATTTTTAGTGCTAAATTGTAAAATTCGTTCATTTTTTGGTATATAATTATGGAGCGAAAAATGTGTCCAGAATCGAAAATACCTTTATCGATAGAATTATCGAGCTTGCAGTATTAAATATCGAACGACCGGCTGAGATACACTTCCCTTTTATTTATAACAAATGCTTTTTGATAAAGGCGAGCAGCAAACACTGGCAAAATGACCTCAATTATTAAACTGCACACCATATCCGGGGCCATGGACGAGTCGCCGCCGTGCTACATTTTACAAATAGACGATGTGCGAATATTGCTTGACTGCGGCTGGGACGAGAAATTCGATCCGAATTTTATAAAGGAATTAAAAAGGTAACAAACCAATTTAGATAAATGACAAATAGTTAACCGAACTTGTTCTAGGCAAGTGCATACCCTGGACGCAGTGCTGCTATCCCATCCAGATGCATATCATCTCGGCGCGCTTCCGTATCTGGTGGGCAAGTTGGGCCTCAACTGTCCCATCTACGCGACGATACCTGTCTTCAAAATGGGCCAGATGTTCATGTACGATTTGTATATGTCGCACTTTAACATGTACGATTTCGATCTGTTTTCATTGGATGATGTGGACACAGCCTTTGAAAAGATCACGCAATTAAAGTACAATCAAACGGTGTCCCTGAAAGGAAAAGGCTACGGCATTTCCATAACACCGCTAAGCGCAGGTCACATGATTGGCGGCACCATTTGGAAGATCGTCAAAGTTGGCGAGGAGGATATTATATATGCCATTGATTTCAACCACAAGAAGGAACGGCATCTCAGCGGCTGTGAGTTGGACAGACTGCAGAGGCCATCTCTGCTGATAACGGACGCCTACAATGCACAATATCAACAGGCCCGAAGGCGTGCGCGCGATGAAAAACTGATGACCAACATTCTGCAAACGGTGCGAAACAATGGCAATGTACTTATCGCTGTGGATACTGCTGGTCGCGTCCTGGAGCTGGCGCACATGCTTGACCAGCTGTGGAAGAACAAGGAATCTGGTTTGATGGCCTATTCCTTGGCGCTGCTCAACAACGTCAGCTACAATGTCATAGAGTTTGCCAAATCACAAATCGAATGGATGAGCGACAAACTGACCAAGGCCTTTGAGGGCGCGCGCAACAATCCCTTTCAGTTCAAGCACATCCATCTCTGCCACACGCTCGCCGACATCTACAAGCTGCCCGCAGGTCCCAAGGTGGTGCTTGCCAGCACACCGGATATGGAGAGCGGCTTTACCCGCGATCTATTTGTGCAATGGGCTAGCAATCCAAATAATAGCATAATTTTCACAACACGCACCGGTCCTGGTTCGCTGAGCATGGAGCTGGTGGAAAATTCAACGCCAGGCAGACAGATTGAGCTGGATGTACGACGACGCGTTGAGCTGGAGGGCGCAGAGCTCGAGGAATATTTGCGCACTCAGGGCGAGAAACTTAATCCGCTCATTGTTAAGCCAGAAGTTGAGGAGGAGAGTAGCTCTGAATCCGAGGATGATATTGAAATGAGCGTGATCACGGGCAAGCATGATATTGTGGTGCGGGCCGAGGGCCGTCATCATTCAGGCTTCTTCAAGTCAAACAAACGCCATCATGTCATGTTTCCCTACCACGAAGAAAAGATTAAGTATGACGATTATGGTGAAGTCATCAATCTGGATGACTATCGCATTGTGGACGCCGGCTACGACTACGCGCCCATGGACGAGCAAAACAAGGAGAATGTTAAAAAGGAGGAGCCACATGTGGAGCAGCAGACCAATGGCAACCTGGACAATGATGTGCAAATGCTGGAAAAGCCCACCAAGTTGATCAGTCAACGCAAAACTATTGAAGTCAACGCACAAATCCAACGCATTGATTTTGAAGGCCGCTCGGATGGCGAATCAATGCTGAAGATTCTCTCACAGCTGAGGCCGCGGCGCGTCATTGTGGTACACGGCACAGCCGAGGGCACCCAGGTGGTGGCCAAGCACTGTGAGCAGAATGTTGGCGCTCGCGTCTTTGCGCCGCAAAAAGGCGAAATAATCGATGTGACAACAGAGATTCACATTTATCAGGTGCGCCTGACCGAGGGTCTCGTTTCTCAGCTGCAATTCCAGAAGGGCAAAGATGCGGAGGTGGCCTGGATTGATGGTCGCCTTGGTATGCGCCTACAGGCCATCGATGCACCCAATCAATCGGAAGTCACTGTGGAGCAGGACGTGGCGGCGCAGGAGGGCAAAACGCTTACATTGGAAACTCTCGAAGAAGATGAAATTCCCGTCCACAACTCGGTGTTGATCAACGAACTGAAACTATCCGACTTCAAACAGGTGCTAATGCGCAACAACATTAACTCTGAATTCTCTGGCGGCGTTCTTTGGTGCTCCAATGGCACACTGGCGCTGCGGCGCGTTGATGCCGGCAAGGTGGCCATGGAGGGTTGTTTATCGGAGGACTATTACAAGATACGCGAACTGCTCTATGAACAGTATGCCATTGTATGAGGAATAAAACTAAGCTATGGACATGTCAAGTCGTTTAATATATTAGGTATATCCAATTGTTTATAGAAATTGCAGCATGGGATCGTCGGTGCGCGTGCGTTTCTTTTTCCATTCCTCGATTTCCTCCTCGGTCGGCGCCTTAACATCGTACATGCTATTGTATGGCCGTTTTCTATCATCAATTTCATCGGGCTGGTTCTTGGATCGGACTGCAGGCGTCTCCTTTTCCTTAATTTCTTTGTGTTTCTTTTTGTTCTTTCGCTGCTCCTTGGCTTTCTTTTTCTTTTCGCGTTTTTTTGATTTTTTCTTTGATTTTTTACTCTCCTTTACTTCCTCTTCAGTTTCGGAGGAGTCTTCCGAACTAGGCGCAGAATCCACTTCGTCCGCTACTGCCTCTTTTTCTAATGTTTCCGTCTGTATTCTTGGCACAGCATCTACCAGTGGAGCGGCGACTGGAGGTGCACTTGATGTTGTCGCGTGCTGCAGCTGTTGCTCGGAATAGCCTTCCGGCTCCTGCATGCCCACACAGTAGGAGTTCTTAATAAAGGATTTGCAGCATTTGTAGCCCCAACGACCGGCATTCCAAAAGCTGCCCCAAATGGTCGTGTGATTGTTTATGTACACATCCTCCTCGTATATGCTGCGTGCCTTGGGTTTCTCGATGCCTTTGATAACCTTGCCACTGCGCGAGTATTCGACATATTCCTCGGTTTGAGCAAGCAATAGCGATTTGGGCGGCACCTGCAAGTGATCCTCGCCTCCGTACTTTTCCACAATGTCTGTTTTGGTCTGCAAGAAAAACTATTTTAGTGCTGTTTAGAACAATAAGTTTATCTGTAACCTACACTTGACTTGAACTGTTCCTTTTTCTGTTCGTATTCCTTCTGCAGCAGCTCCAGCTTTGTGGGCTCGGCAAGCAAATGGACATCAACGCCCTTGCCGTGTGCCTCCCAAGCGAACAATTGTGCAGTGGCTTGGGCTGTTGTGTCCCCAGAGAAACGTACAAAGTTCTCGCCCGCAAACTCCGCTCTAGAAAATTTAAAATCGTTAGCGAAACTGAATAAGAAAATACAACTCAACTTACTCCTCCGCTGGAACAGCTGGATTGGGATTATCGCGCATAGATCGCGTCTTGGGATCATAGTAAGCTGAGTTTGGATCCAAATTGCGCAAATATTTCGCTGTATCCTCACGTATGCGTAAATTACGCACGGTAATACGCTGTTTTGAGTCGACTTTTGTGCCCGGCATGTCCACCTCATCCACGTATTTGTCCTCGTTGCCTTCCTCATCGGAGATTTCAGCATCAGGATCTGTGAAATGTCCAGATTACTAAAAGAAACAGCTTTTTTTATGCGCAGAGACAGCTTACCATTCTTTAATTTCTCTGCCTTAAGCTGGCGCTTTGCTTCCTCTACTTTTTCATACTCCTCAATGATTTCCCGATGATTGGATGGATCGTAGGAGCTCCATCGATCCCGTTTTTCATCATAGTTAATCGACGCATCGGTCACAATGTGCTCGTCGTGCACCACAATCGATTCGGCGTACTTGGCCTGGACCTTGCGCGGCCTTTCCAGGCAATCCTTTTTCTTATGGGTCATGGCGCCACAATTTTCACAGGCGCCCTTACGAAACTTGGTAACCAGTTTTGTGGTGTCTAGGCCTTTGGGAGCCCTATTGTCCAATTGACCACGTTCATCCTCGTGCTGTGGCCGCTGATGCTTTAATGTGGGCCCCTGGGATCCATAGTACCAGGGCGCATTTGAAATATATTGCGGAATGTGTGGATTTATGTCACGACCTTCCTCGTCAACGGCGGCCGGCGCAGTACCCGCTTTTCGGGCCTCTTCCAGCTCCTTGGCCTTGCGCCAATCTTCGCGTGACTTCTTTTTGGGCTCGTCCTCAACATCTTGATCATCCTTATTGTGGATTATTTGCGACACGGGCGTTCGAACAGCGCCCGAACTCATAGCGAGAGATTAGTTTAATATTAACAACTATTAATTAATCAATCAACTAAAATTGTTTTGGTATCGGTGGTACAATGGAAATGAGCAAAACGTACAACGATAGAGATTTACTCTAATGTATCGATAACACAAACATTGCAAGAGCGATAACAATGCATGCCATTCGCTAAAAACGTTAACATAAAAACAGCAATGGCCCACTGTCCGGTGACTGGCAACACTGACGGCGTCTCATTCGTGTAAAAATTATACTACAGTGCGGACGCGTCTAAAATCCAAAGACTACTAAGTTTCCATTTAATTGTTACAATCATTCCACGCATATATAAACAAATTACGTGCCTTGTGATTTTCTATACACAACCAACCACAACGGAAAAATCGATTAAATAAAAATGGTAATTTCAACAAAGACTAACTGTCGCGGCTGCTTCTGCAGCGCATCGCAATCTGCTTGCCAGAAGCGGTTTGACGTACTGTCGTTTATTGCGCGTGCCTCGCGACCTGAAATATTAATGCTACCATGGACCACGTAGCGCGAACATTGACAATTGGCGCTGACGTTCTCTGATAGTTCGCGGTGCTATTTAAATTGGACAAATTTTAACCAGTGTTATTGTGGCGGGGCGGCAAAACGTTCGTGTTTAACCTCAAAGTTTAGTGCTAATGTCGATTTTGCCGCCACCATTTTGTGTAGCGTATTCCGTATTCTTTTTTGCTTTCTACTCTGTATATGTGTGTGTTGTTTGTGTTTTACTAATTCTGGACAAAATTCTCTTCTGCAGGCTGGTGGCAAAGCGGGCAAAGACTCTGGTAAAGCCAAGGCGAAAGCGGTTTCACGATCGGCGCGCGCGGGACTTCAGGTGAGTTATTGTTGTTGTCTGTACCAAATAAATTTTTGGCGCCTTTTTTACCAGCTCACATACATACATATACATATACATATATATGTATATGTACACAACAGGGTGCGTTTGCATCAGCCGTGTCTGTATGTTTGCTCGGAAATAAATAGCTTGTGCTACTTGGGGGTAGCAAAACATAAACAAGAGATGAAACTTTTTCCTAATGCGATTTTTATGTACTTTTATACCAAACAGTTTCCCGTTGGTCGTATTCATCGCCATCTCAAAAGCCGCACCACATCGCACGGACGCGTTGGTGCCACCGCTGCCGTCTACTCTGCAGCCATTTTGGAATACTTAACTGCTGAGGTGAGATTTTCGCGCCTAACGTAATTTCTTTTTCCGTTTTTCTATTGTCAAATATAACGGTGTTTGCTTGTGTTGATTGGAATGCATGCGTATTTGTAAATGTTGACAACGGCATTTGTTTACATGCTAACCTGTTAACAGAATTCTTATGTGCTGCCGTAACATACATAGCTATGTTAACTAACATATTCCAATTGGCAAAATTTATGCTTTTAAGCAATTTATTCAAATACTTATTGTTTTCCGATATACTGCTCTTTGCAGGTGCTGGAGTTGGCAGGCAACGCATCGAAAGATCTGAAAGTGAAGCGCATCACGCCGCGCCATTTGCAGTTGGCCATTCGCGGAGACGAGGAACTGGACAGTCTGATCAAAGCAACCATCGCCGGAGGCGGCGTCATTCCGCACATACACAAGTCGCTTATTGGCAAGAAAGAGGATACCGTGCAGGATCCGCAGCGGAAGGGAAATGTCATTCTCTCGCAGGCTTATTAATAATTGCCTCTTCTTTTTGACTATTTCGGAATACAAATTTTACATCTATGTTTAAAAATATATTACAAACTAAATGACGCGTTGTAACAATTCTGTGCGAAGCTGCCAAGGCGTTCAGCATAATTCTAATTTACAACAATTTCTAAATCCAGCCCATCATCTCCCAGCATCTGCCCGCTACCCGACCCTAGCCTCCCTTCTATTGCCAACAGGCAACATAAACATTCAACACCCGCACTCACACACACACACACACACACACACACCCACACACACACTCACGCACTTACACATACAAATGTAAACTTAATTGTCAAGCAAAATGCAATGTTAAATGAGAAAGAGGATTAATGCAAACTTAATTTAGAGCAAAGTAAATTACACAAATAAATTTAATAAAACTTTAAATAAAAAAAACAAAACAAAAGAACAACAATCCCAAATTGTTATTGGACAATTTATTAGACAATTAATTGTTGAAATAAACTTTGTGCACAAAATAGTAATAGTAAGAATTATATTAATCAAAATATCTGGGGCATCCCATCGAACAGTTTAGCCCAGTAAATGCGGCACTGCCTTCTGGACATCGTCACAGCGCTCCTTGAGGTCCTCAGCATCCAGCTCCAGGCAGGCGCCCCATTCAATCAATGTGATGCGATGGTCCTTGTTGGAATCGCACGACTCCAGGAAGGGCGCAATGCAATGCTCCAAGCTGACCAACGGTGCGCGTATGGGGAACAGCTCGTGGCGGGATACCGAGCGATCAGTGTCGCCATCCAGGTCACACCATTTCCACACAGCTGCGTTGGCCCAGCGGCGCGAGTTGTTGGTCTCGGCCTCCAGCTCCATTTGCATGTAGTGTTCGGTCAGCTCGTCGCGCTCGGCCAGATCGCGCATCACGTTGAACAGCCAGTCGCGCATGCGACGCGGGAAGTCCTTCAGATCCTCGCCGTCGCAAACGCGCGACTCGTGACAGGCGCCATAGTAGTCGATGTGCAGATGCGCATTGTCTGGATGACGGCAGCCCGGATCCTTGATGTCGCACCAGCAACGCTGCTGGTAGACGGCACAGTCCGAGGGCCAGGTCTCGTTCTTGTTGGTGCACACATGACGACGCACATCCGACTCCTCGGGGCACTCGGGTATGCACACGCACTCTGGCTTGCCCTTGTTCAGTTGGCAAATGCGACCGGCGCCGCAGTGCATGATCTCGCAGGGATCAACCTCGACAACTGGATTCAGTATGTTATGCTGCACCTCCGCCAATTTCTGGGCCAGCTCATTCTCACGGTCCACGTCTTTGTTCTGCCAGAATCCAGCCAGTCAATCAAACACGAGTGCTCACATTTAAACGATTCAACAATACACACCTTCGACTTCTCCTCCAGCACGGCCAGAAACTCCTCATCGTCCTCATCGAACTCGGCTATGTCATCCAAGTCGATATCTGCGATAGACTCCTCGGCGCGCACCTGACCCAGCGCCAGCAGCCCCAAACAGAGCAGCAGCCAAATGGAACGCATTTCGCTACGAGTTCCCCACAAAACTGAAAGTGCCCAAGCATATAACTTATACTATTACTATATACTTAAATATTTAAGAAATAATCTTCATTAAGTGCGGGAGGTCAAACGGTGGCGCGATTAGGTTTGGCCTTCAAGGCAAACTGAATTTCATTTTCAAATTTAGCGCCAAAAAACATTGTTTTCCAGTTTCTTAAAGTGCACGAGACTGTACCGCTGTAACGGTTCGCACTGTAACGGTAATCAACCCCTTTTTTAGGGTGGCTTACACTGCAAAGACTTTGCGCGGCATTTGAAGACGCCGCATTTCTCTACATGTCAATTCAACATACATTTTCGAAGGGCATTTACCAGAAAGTTGCGGAATTCAATGAATACAATGCGCACTTATTGTTGACGGTGAACCAATTGCAAAAAGGAGAACGCATCGAATAGGGTGGACCAGCTTACACGCACTGATATTCTCGCAAAACACACATACAAATCTTTAGCTTCATAAAGAAATTAAACGAATATTTTACTTTAGAAAAGAAATGCGTATCTGTAAATTATTGATTTGAGTAAAATTAGTTAAAGAGAAGGCTCTAACGATGTGTTTTCGGGTTTCATATTCAAGCAACCCTTTAAATTCTTAGCAACAGTTTTTGCTATGCATTTGGGTCAGCAAAAAAAAACGTTTTAGCACAGAGATACATAAGAAATTCAAGCATATTTTAACTTTACAAATGGAGTTAACTATAAAGTCAAATTTGATTGGTTAATTATTTGAATGGTAAGGAATCCCTTAAATTCTTTGAAAGACTAGCTAGAAAAAGAAAAAAAACCTAAATTTTTATATAGCTGAAAAAACTAAATTTTAATAACAGTGGAGGTTGATACTGCTCTAATAATCTTTGATATTTGGATCTATTCGTATAAACAAAAGCAAATAAAATATAAAAAAATGGGAGAAAATGAAAAAATGTTTTCTTTTAAAACAGATACATAACAAAAATTCCATATTATAATTTAAGAGAAACTTTCTTTGAAAATTCAATTTATTTTGTTTAAGCAAAAATAACCAACTAATCTTTTATGTTATTTTCTATAAGTAAATACTCAGGCAACTCTTAAGATACTTTGCAAATGGCTGAGTACGAATTGCAATGCATTTGGGTCCACACTAAAAACCAAAAGATATTTTGACGGCATGTTAAACACATGTTCTCCAGTTCAAAGCATTTGAAAATTGTTTATGATCGTTGCTTTGGCACAAAAAGCGCAATTCTGAAATCATCTCTATATACAGGTATATATATATAAATTTATATATGTATATATGGGTATATGCAAGTGTGTGCGTATGCGTACTAGATTTTCTATGGCACATAGTTCTGATTAAAGCTTGACCCGAATGCTGGGGTAACACAGCCAAATATATGTTATAGAACATATATAAACATGTTCTTATACAATATATAGTCACAAATGTGGGCTTATCGCATTAGCTTGGCCTGAGCTTATCTCTGGGCTGGGCTTCCGTTTTGGGAATTGAGATTTGCTCAATCGCCGCTTTTTCACTTGAGCCAAAGCGAATGCGCAATGTTTCTTTCGAATGTGGCACATTTGCCATATACACTGGCATTTCATATCTATATACAATATCTTTATGTGCATGTGCATCTGTTGAATGCAACAGTTTCCCGGAATATATCAATGGATGCTGCATGCCTTTCGGCATGCTCTCTCCCGCTCCTTCGCATTTTGTTGCCGCTGCAGTTTAATTATAACGAAAACCGACCAAGAATGACGTGATCTATCGCATATAGCCGCAGATCTTGTTATGTTTGTGTGTGGCAGACTACACTCTATGCACCAGAATTTTCATTGTAATCATGAGCTACACTGAGCACAAACTGGGTTGAGATTTTACACAGTAGAAATATCTGAAAGAGTCTCTACTTTTATTCAAAATCAACTAAAATGCAGGCAAGGCACTTGCCGGAAATGCACTTGTGCCCAGATCTGACCTTGCCAGATTCTAGTATAGAGCCAGAACAGAGATTGTTAGTTGTGCAAAATTTGATTAAATTAATTGGCAAATTGTTTTTAGAATTGAGTTCAATTAACTTTGAGCAAAGAATTTTATGCAGATTATTGAACTTGAACAACGAAATGCAATTAAAAGCTGAGACACGCTAAAAGCCTAAAGGCACTCGAATTTCAAAACTTTGATTCGATTCTAAACAACGAGTACTTTGGATCGAGTCTACAACAAGTACTCCACAAATGATTCGCAGCTGCCTTGGAATACTTACTATAATTTATTTGATGATTAAATTCCTGTATGTCCAAACGCGTCGGCGGCAGACGAACAACTGTTGGCCGGACGATGGGCAACACAGCGATTATAGAACGTCGTCATGGGATGTCCACATATCGCTTAACTGGAACACAGGCGCACACAACATGGCATTGGGCTCGCCAACTTGTTGGCTGCCAACATGTTCGTTCGTACAATAACAACACAGATTTTTATTTTCATTTTCATTTTTTCATGAATACGATTTGATTTTATTCGAGCAAACAGCCAAGCATAACAATATATATAGATATATATCAGACTTACCCGTGGATCGTAAGCTAGATACTTTGTTGTCTCAGTGCATCCGGAAGTGCTTTAGTGGGGGTTTTGTTTCTTGTATGTTGTGTGGAAAGAAATAGGGATTTGGTACTTTTAGAAATGCTGCATTAAAGTGTTTTTGTATGCTAAATACGTATAGATAGCGGTACTTAAGCATTCATATAAACTAGTTAGTTAATAAGGTTCTGTGTAACTAAAATTGTGCCCACTAACTTACCTTAAAAAGCTTGACGCAAGCCCGCAAAAACATACAATAAAAATCATATAAATATATATTTAGAGAGATAGAGAGAGAGAGAGAGAGAGAGAGAATTGCTTGCACTTGTTTCTAGAGCTGCATAGGCATAAGTTTAACTAAATTTAATTGTTAATTAAATAGATTGTTGGCTAAGTAGAACTTTAAGTACTTAGTTAACTGCGAAGACTTACTTAATATTGCAGCTAGGGCACAGCTCAAGTAAATATTATAATACATAGTGTGGGTTGTTAAGAATTTATTTATTATTTAAAAATAAATATATTGAAACTTGTTTTTCATAAATTTATATATATATAATAATAATAATATAGTAAGTTATATTGTGTAGAGCTATATTAAACTGGCAAATTAGGGACTCTCTTAGTTAGGCCTGGCATTACCTAATACATATATCATATAGTTAAAATATAAACTGAAATCGTAAACGTTAAAGCCTTTGGCGTGCGCTACAAAACTTAAACATATCCATATACATATCAAGATATAGCAGCAACATCTATATATTTATAAATTAATGCTAAACTTAGGAGTTCACGTCGTGGTTGATTACAAGCACATAAATCCATTAATTTTCTTCTTTTTTTTTATTATTTCGAAATTTTTGCAATTAAATACATAATTGTCACACAATAATAACAAATCAGCCGCTCCTTTCAAGTTCATCTCTATTCCTCTTTAAATAATCTGAATCGTATTTGCGTATCTGCAAAGCATCATAATTTCAAGATTGGCTCTACACGTATAAACATCGAAATGTGCAAGATTTGAATAATTTGGTCATTCGATCGATTTGCAGCAGCAATTGCAAATTGAGTTTTGAGTGTGAGGAAACCGTTTACAACTTAATCATATTCATTTAAGTAGAGCGTACAGTCATATATGCATATATATATATAGATAAATATATTTATATACATGTATGTTTATACAAATTGACAGTAATTTGGATTGAATTATTTATATGGCTACAGTATTAAACTTTTCTATTTGATATTTCATATATTATTACTTGTGATGTGCGCAGCCGTGCGTTGCTCAACAGCCTTTCGATTTGATTGAATGTTATATATTACTGGACGTATCTTATAATTTTTTCATTTGGTATTTTGCTCGTCGGCCAATATGATTTCTTTTTGGTTATACGAGTATTAAGGCGTCTATTAATTATAGTATATACGAGAGCAAACTAGCTCTATATATAAGCTCGACTGCTAAAGGTTCTATTTAAGATCTAATTCGTTTACAAAAATACACGTTTACGGTGTTCTAATGCTGAGCTACGCACGGGCACGGGGCACGGGCACGGGCACTGTACTTCATTTGTATTTATAGACTGGAGGAATTACATTTTAGGCATAAATAATTATAGTATGAAGAGAGAATAAGAGAGAGCACTAGTTGATTAAGTTCTAATTTGGGTTTACAATTTGTATTAAAATAACTTAGTTTTTTTTTTTTTTTTTTTTGAGAGAGAAAATTATGCATGGCAAGTTAACAGTAAATGAAATGAAACGATTTTCGCTACAACTCACAGTTGTATCAAATATTTGTCTTATTAATAGGCCGAGTATCGCTTAAATACAAACATAGTTGGATATCAATCGTTCAATAAATAACATTAGAGCTTAAGTTAAGGAGTTAAAAACTTTAGTTAGTTGTTGCCGTACGCTCAGTTAGATATAAACGTATAGATACATATATATATATATATATAGAAAGAGAGACAACGCAGTTAATATATTATATTTATCCTGTTTTTAAGTTACTAAGCGAGTGTGTGTCCTAGCTTACTACGAGCCTATTTATCAGTATCAGTATCTGTATTTGTATCTTGAATTCTGAGCTTTTGTGCTGCACTTAAGGCACACACAAAAAGGCATCTAAATCAAAGAGAATTATAAGGATTAAAGGATTAGTACTTTGACATACTTATAGAGAGCGACACAATTGGAGTCAGTATTTGGTACCTTAAACTTTGCTTTAAATTGTACTAGCCATAAACGTACCACAACAATGACAGCGCAATGCGTGAGGGACAGAGTTGCATGTCTCTCGCTTTACTTACCCCGACTAACGACGATATTTGCTGTTCGCGCTACCCCCGGTGGCCACCGATCCATTTGAAATATTCTTAGGTACGGGCCCCGAGGGTGGGCCACCGCCACTGGGCGGCGGAGCTGCGGCATTGTAGGGCGCATAGCCGGGTGCTGGTGGCTGCGCGTTGTCTACGAAGAGATTAAGTCTGATACTTAAATACAGAATTTTGCAGAAGTCCTACTACTTACGATAGCTGCTGGGTGGTGCTGCGTACGGATTCATGCGGTTGCCATTCATGTTGTTGTGTTTAGTTGGGCCGCCGCCATAGTTCTGTTGATAGCCGCTGCCAAAGTTTGGCGGCGGCGGCTGCTGCTGCTGCTGTGGTGGTGGCGGCTGATGTGGTGGTGGGCCCTGTGCTACCGGCATGGAACCAGGTACTGGTGGCGCCCCAGACGGCGGCATATTCCAGTTGCCCACCACTTGCGGCGGTGGACCGCTGCGATGATGACCAGCGGGTGGCACGCCAGGTGTGGGCGGCTGTACCGCTGGCGGACCGCCCCACTGGTTGGGATGCCACTGCTGAGCACCGGGTGGTGGTGGCGGTGGTGCATTCCAGCCATTCTGTGCGGGCGGATAAGCATTCCACGCATTCATTTGAGGCGGCGGCGGCTGCTGGTAATAAGGCTGCATGGGCGGCGGCGGCCCCCAATAGTTGTAGTTTGGTGGCGGAGCGGTCATGGGTGGCGGCGGCGGTTGATGCTGATACGGCGGCATTTGCTGCGGCGGAGGCACTTGGGGACGGTAGCCAGTTGGGGGCATGTTTGTTTTAGGCGGCGGCTGCTGTTGCTGCGGCATCTTGTTGCCGTTGGCTGTGGCGCCCTGAGCCATTCTGTCTTTCTTTTCCAGATTGTATATGGACTTTTTAACGTCGACGAGCACGTATTTTATCGAGTGCTGTCTTTGAACTGTTAGTAAAAATGTATTGCAATAAATTGTTTAAATTAATTGGCTTAAGGTAGACTTACGTATTGCCTTGTCTACGGCATCGTAGTCATCGAATTCGATGAAGGCAAAGCCTCGACGCTTGCCGGTAGTTTTGTCTGTCAGCAATTTCACGGACACCACATTGCCAAATTGCAGGAAATATTCGCGTAGGCAATCCTCATCGTGATTGTCCTTTAAACCGCCGACAAAAAGCTTTTTAACCGATATGTTCGTTTCACGTGTCTCACGCTCCGGACGCGGCAGTGCGCGTTTTGCCTCCACAGTTCTAGAAGACACCGAAAAACAGATAATAACTATGAGATTGAGTCAATGCAAATACAACATTGGATACATACTTGCCGTCAATGATATGCGGTCGGTTCTCTTGCGCAGTATCTACCATGGCGGACTTTGTATAGGTAATAAACCCAAAGCCACGTGAACGCTTAGTGGCGGCATCTCGCATCACAACAACATCGACCACCTTGCCCCACTGGGAATAGAACACTTTGAGGCCCTCCTCTGTGGTGTAGGGCGCCAGGCCGCCAATAAACAGCTTGCGCAAGTGCTCCAATTCGCAAATGTCCTGCAGGCCAAATTAAACACAAATATATATTCGCATGTGTGCATGTGCATATGCATGGGTTCGTTTGTCAGAAACAGCGCAGGTTTTTTTTTTTTTTATGTACCACAAGGTGCACGCAGTAGAATGAGTAGTGCGGACGCCGCAATTGTTATTGATACTTACATCTTCGTCTTTGATTTCAAATATCTCGGGCTCTTCGGCGTTATCCTCTAATTTGACTACTTGCGGTGTGTTTGCCATATTTGGCGCACGTTTAATTAAATTTACAAAAAAAAAATGCAAAGAGCTGTAGCTCGTCAGACACGCACGCGAAGAAAATTTCAGGGATGTGCAATATACATCGTACTACCTGACTATCGATAAGTTGCTTGCCTTCGATATATTATTTTGACGCACAGACCTTTGGCAGCCCTGGTTTGTTATTGTTATTATTACGTTGTTTAGTCAAATTGTATAATATTTAACTAAATTAAGAGCTCAGTTGGATTAAAAACAAAAACCAAAACAAAAAAAACCCAGCAGTTGCTGCAACAACAAATGCAGTGAACTAAGGTAAGTGTCACAGTGCGCGTTAGACCGCCAATTAAACTGTTGTCATAGATAGTTATAAGCAGCCGTCAGTGATGCAAGTTTTGACTATTTAAAAGCTAAAAACGTTTTGTTTCATTTAACTTAGTTTATTTGACGCATTTAAATCAGCTTAAAACAAGAATTCACTTAACACGAATTAATAAGCGTTGGCGGAGGCACAAAACGGCTGCGTCGCTGCTGCTGCTGCTGCTGCTGCTGCTGTTGGTCAGGATGCACTTGGTGGTGGTGTTGTTGTTGTTGTTGGTGTTGTGCCTCAATGTCAACATAATTAACATCCGCACGACGCGCATTATTTACGAGCGTTGACGGCAGCAGCGCCGGCGTCGCTGCATAGTAGCTGCTGCCTAGCATGGCCGCCGCCGTCGCTGCCGCAGAGCTGGTCGCCGGCGCAGACGTCGCGTAACTCGTCTGGCCCATAATTGTGCTCATAAAACCATTGGCCACGACAAAGTTCCTGCAAATTGATAGTATCGTGCATTACATAAAAAATGTCGAACAGTAACCGAGCCCGAGCTCGAGCCCGAGCCCGAAACCCAAAGCCGGACGCGCAGACATTTGTCTAATTGGGCCGTAAATGTCGTTAAATTAATTTCGTGTTAATTTAATGGGAGTACATCAATTATATTTGTGACATTTCCCTGAATTGCTACTCCTACTCCACTCTGTTGGCTTACCTGTAATGCTGATCGATTTGCGCCTTCTCGATGCGTTTATCCTTGGCGCGACGATTTTGAAACCAGATTTTGATTTGTGTCTCCGACAAGCGCAGCGTCTCGGCCAGCTCAAAGCGACGACTTCTCGATATATACTCGTTCCGATGGAACTCCACCTCCAGTCGCAGTGTTTGCTCCGTGCTGAACGTGGTGCGCTGCCGTCTCTGGCGTCCCTCCTTGCGGCGACGTCGAGCCACTGCCAAATCGAGAGCACATCATCAAATTGTTGCATAGACCACAACAACAATGGCTTAAGATTAGGCATATCATTGGGCATATCACGCACACACAATGGAGATGTTAGAGCGTACCAAATGCCACATTAATAAACCATCAAATTACCCTCAGACCCGCCTGCACGTGCACATATATCAGCGTACGGCTTACTGTCCTTGCGTGCGAACAAGTTAAACAAATAATTAACCAGGCTGTTGCCCACCCCGCCCCTTTTCTACTGCTAAGCGATGTTTGTGATCGCGTTTATGGCGCACATTAAAATGCATTTTACACGTGTTCCTAGACTGTCCATCAGTGCCGTGCCCCCTTTACCCCCCTCTCCACTCCCATCCTGCGTCCCAGCAATTCATACTTTGGGCAATCTGAGCCGGGAAACTTTCAACAATACCAACAGCTGTCTCCCATCCTCCCTTTGTTATTTTTGTTATGCGGCGAACAGTCATCATAACTATACACTTCTTGAAAGGGTATTATTAGTTTTTCCATACGGTTTGCCATTTTTAATTTCGCATACAAGTTTGCTAATAATTTATTCCTCACTTTTTGCTTAAGAAATAAATGGAGAATACATTTTATATATTCAAATAATAAAAACTATTTTAAAATAAATGTTTTTTTGAGGCCATTGGTTGTATTCAATTTCGGGACAATTTCAGCTTGAAAACTTTCGTCAAAATATATAAAAACATATAAAAAAAATATATATATTACGTTGACTTAGAAAAAAAATCTACAACATATTTGGTTTCAATGAAGCATTTGTTTAGGTCGAAGGTTTCTTTAGAGCGAATTTTCAATATGCTCATATTAACATTTTTAATTTTATTTTGTCCTAAACATTTTTTAATATCTATCGAAACGTCGAGTCGTACTTCAATTTTTCACAACAATAGGTAATTTAATACATATTACAAAAACAAAAAACAATGAATTTTGATTTAATACAACAAATGTTTTAGTATTTTGTATCTTTCGAAAATGAGGATCCCAAAGAACATAATTAAACATATATAATTAATTCAATTGAATACAAAAAAAGATTTTAGTGGCTTGTAGACTTCGAAAATTAGAGCCGCAGCAAAAGACAATAATGTACAAATATTAAAATGTATTCGAAATGATTCATTTTAATGGAATTTTACAAATATTTTGTAAATATTTTTTGTAAATTTTGAAAATAAGAATCGCAGCGCTTTAAGCGAAGAGAGTATCGACAACAGTTTGATCAATTCGTTTGTAAGGGCATGTGCACTTCGTTGTAGCGCAATCCTAATGAATATTTGTTTGCATTGCGCTGTGACGTAGACGTCATTCGAGCGAACAATATTCAGCCACGCCCGCTCACACGATGCGTACTCAACTCCCATTGTCTGTTCGCGTACGCTGATTACCGCTTAATTGTTCCAGTCCGTCTCTCCACTCTCCACGCTCTCTCTCTCTCTCTCTCGCTCTGACACTCGCACTCTCTGCTGCCTTGCCTCTTGCGAAGCTGTAAAGTTTCCGCTAGTGCGCGACTTTTTGTGTGAGTGTGGTGGTAGAGCGGGGGTAGTGCGGGGGTAGGGGTTGCTAATCTCTAGTTCTCGCCTGATTACCCGCCGCCTGACTAACTCACAAGAGCCTTAAGCTCTGCTTTCGGCTTATATGCACATACATATACATATACATATATATTTTTTTTAAATCACGTGTGAAATTCGATACGACAAGTGTCCTTTGTGTGTGTGTGTGTGTGTGTGTTTTTTAGGTTTCCTGTTAAGCTCAATTACAATGTTAATTTTTTAGCAATGCGTTTTTTTCTACTACTCTTCTGCTTCTTCCTTTTTTTTTAGCTAACTCTCAAAGTGGCATATTTATTGGGGGTGCCAATTAATCGCGATGTGCCCTGTAATATCATCTCTCCCTTATCAATCTTCTTCTGGCATTGTCCATTCTTAATTTGCGTACCTTTTCTCCCGCGCGACCTTTAAGCGAGATTACCGCAAGTAAATGGAAATTTTTACGGCTGAATGCGTTTTAATATTTTGTTAATTTCTTGTTTTTTTTTTTGCTTTCTTCTTCTTAAAGCCCTTTCTCTCTCGACTTTTCGGTTTTCTTTAGCATTTCTTTTCTTTGCTTTTGCATACTTTTTTTTTTTTCATCAAGGATTTGCCGACAAGTGCCAGGATATTTAATAGCCTGGCTACTTTTTACGCAGTTCCTGCGGAACTAATTTTTTTTTTGCTCCTACTTTCGTTAAACTCTTGCACCTGCATGCGCCAGCGTGTGAAAATCCCGTTGCATTTAACATTTGCCCATTTCTGACCATATTACAGATCCAATCAGAATGCGTGCTCCTCTGTGCTTCGGCTGCCAGCGCTGCCTGCTTGGCCGGGCGACAATCCAATTAGCCGCAGCCTTCCAGGCCAGACATCTGGCGAACAAAGACGCCTCGGATATTGTGGTAAGTGTTGCAAATGGAGAAACATAGCTCGTCTAATGTCTGGCAAACCGACAGTTGCCCCCGGAACCCACCACCTGCTGCATGTCCGGTTGCCCCAATTGCGTCTGGGTGGAGTACGCGCAGACTGTGGCCAAGCTGCTGGGGGACAACGATGAGCGTGCCCGTGAGATTGTTCTGGCCAAGATCAAAGATCCCAATTTGCGTATGTTTTTGAGCATGGAGCTGCGCAACTTGAAACAGCTGCGAGACAGCGCAGAGGAGGCGAAAAAGAAACCCAAATAATCCAAACTGTAGCACCAAATTGTATTCAAATACATTAGCAAAATTCGATTATGCCATAACCCAATTAACTTTTACTGATCTGAAAGGAACAACATCTATATCGACAACAATCAATCGGACATGTTAAGGGAATAGGCGGCAATCCCATCCATGCCCTGGCGTCAGCTTGCAAGACAAGCTTAATGACATGTCATCGAAGGTGTCTTGTCTATTGATATGCTTGACGTTTCGCTCGACCATATAAATACACTATACAACACAGTTGGTGAGTTGAAAATCGGCTGTATATAAAAAATATTCCAGGTTCAATTAAGGCAATTAATTTCCCAAATCTATCTAAAGCCGTTTTTTAATAATTAAATACCCTATAATATCCGAATGAAAATGTTCGATTCTACTAAAAATAGCCAAAATTTCATTTATAAAATATGGCTAGATAATGGTTAAGTGTTAAACTGGAGTCTCCCCCTTTTTCTTTAATTAAACTTATTTTCTGGGTCACCCTTAGAAGTATTTTTGACTGCTTTTGGGTAATGTACCAAATCTTAAAGCTACGACCGTTGTTTTTCTATCATTTAAGATCCAAGTTAATCTTTTTAACATCTTTCATTTCATTGGGATGAGCGGATCGTATTCAGAAAGTTTTTTTATTCCTTGTTATGTAGGGTATTATAGAGGGTATTATAACTTCGACCCCATAAAGTATATATATTCCTGATCAGTGCCAACAGCCAAGTCGGTCCGTCTGTTTCTATGCGAACTTGCCTCTCCGTCGGAACTGGGCGGATCGGACCACTATATTATACAGTTGCCATAGGAACTATCGGACCAAAAGCAGAAGATATCCTACCTTAACTTGGCATTTATAAGTTTAAGAACGTGCCCTATATGTATGCAAAATCTTATCAACATCGGCTAGCCATATCATATAGCTGCTATAGGAAAGTTTGATCGAAAAGTTGGAAACCTTTTTTTATATTAGAGTAACTTGATAGTTCTAGTAGTTCCATTATGATCCTCATAGGGAAATTTCTATGAACATGGGACAAGCTTATCATATAGCTGCAATCAGGTTTTTCATTATACAGACTTTCATATTATATAACTGCTATATAGATGAGATTCTAGGAACAAGGACTCTTTCCAAGTATTCCAACCAAACTCTTTACATTAGATTTACTTTTGCCTAAAACGTTTTGATCAAAACACAAAAGCTTTCATATTATGAACTTAGAGTGCTTTTATATGCGATTATAAAGAATCCCACAATAATTAATATATATGCTATGTCCACTCCAGATCTGCAAATATCTCTATTCCGCTCTAAATATTCTATAAAAAACTTTTCACTAACTCTTTCTCAATCTTTACTGGAACTAAAATAGTTGGATACGTATTAAATATTTGTAAAATGAGTTGTAGGTCGATTTTTGTGTTTAATCTCGCTCGGATGTACTCACAAAATGCTGAAAATCCGGCGTTAATATGCGGATCAGCCGAAAAGGCCGGAAATGATAGAGCCGGCGGTAAAGTTGCGTTCGCAATGGCGCCGTACGCGCTGTAATCCGGCGTAGGCGCATGCAATTCATATGACGGAAAACTGACTAATGAGACGCGCTCATCACTTATCGAAATGTCCGGCGAGGATGCGCTGCCTCCGTCGCTCTGGTAGGGCGTCTCGGCGTGTGTGCCCACATCAATGTCGCCGCTCTCACTGTTGTGCGTCCGCGTCTCGAGATGCCCGTAAAGACGCTCGAAGAATTGGCGCGGAGATGACGGACGCTGCGGCGTCGCAAGCACCGTGTGTATGGGTGCGGTTGCGGTTGCGGATGCGGGTGCGGGTGTCGCTGTCGGCGTGGAATTCGAAGATTTGATAAACTGTTCCGCATGGAGCGGCGATGATGGGTTTTGCTGCAGCATTTTGGGCGCACGGATCGAGCACCGGCTAAACTTAACACTTGGATAATCGACGAGTGACTGAAACTGGCGTTACTTCCGACTTCGAAACTGACCGGTCGCTTGTCTTGGTCAAGCGTTTGCGCTTATCTTGCGCGTCACAAATTATGTGCCGCATTAAAATCGACAAGAAGGTGCTTAAAATTGTGGTTAATAAAAAAATATTGGCGCCACACCTGAAGCAAACAACGCGTTGCGCTGATTGGTTGCAGCTGCAGTGCAACCCTCAGTCAACTTCCGCTTCAAAGTATCCTCCAAGGGTAGCAAAAAGGATAAGCGCCGCCCACTTCGTACGTGTGAGCTATAGCTGGCAGCTATTGTTGCCAGCAGCACAGCGCGCTTGAAAGCTAATTGATACGTAACTTCATATTTGACTTACTCTTATCGAGTTTTAATTTGTATGTTCCCAAACTTATCGTTTTAATTACCTATCTATGGGTATATTTATGTATATTCGAAAATAGACATAAATAAAATACAATTTGATAAGCGTATTAAAATTGTTAGAAATTGTTAATGCCAGCATTTGACAATGCATCGCATAAAATATATCGATATATCGAGCTAGTTTCATATATCGCATATCGTAATATCTAAGCTATCGATACAATATTTTAGTATAGCCATTTACTGACATCGCTACAATACATTTTGGCTGCTCAATAAAATAAGTTTTTAATTTCCAGAATTTAGCGACTCAAACATGTCTTATCAATTATATCGCAACACTACGCTTGGCAATACACTACAGGAGAGCCTGGACGAACTAATTCAGGTAAGCTACGTGCCCGATACAAAACGAATTCCCAACAGGCCGCAGCAGCAGCTGCGTCGCAGACTCAGGCGAAGTCTTGTCAAATTTTTGCATTTTCACATCGTCAACAATTGTTAAATTGGCTTGCATTTGCTGTGCCCCCTTTTGTTACTTCATTTGCTATTTATGTAAAATGTCGATTTTGACGTCAGATTAACTTTAAACATATTTGCAGTATGGACAAATAACGCCCGCATTGGCATTTAAGGTGCTGCTGCAGTTTGACAAGAGCATTAACAACGCCCTTAATCAGAGGGTTAAAGCTCGCGTTACATTCAAAGCGGGAAAACTGAACACCTATCGCTTCTGCGACAACGTCTGGACCCTGATGCTCAACGATGTCGAGTTCCGGGAAGTGCACGAATTCGTTAAGGTCGACAAGGTTAAGATTGTGGCCTGCGACGGCAAAAGCGGCGATTTCAATTAACAACTAAGCGAAACCGGCGCACAAATTGCAACGCGTTCTACTTTTTAAGTTTCTTATTCATAAGGTCGAGTTGGTGGCTGTTGTCTCTACTGCATCAATTGGGGGAAGTAAACTGTTAACACATAATATGCCATTCGTTGTTTTATTACTCTTCAATTGTAAATTGTTTCCAACGAATCCCGTTCAAATTTTGGGGTCAGCTTCACTGACAGATTTCGTAGCTACATCATTCGCCTCATATTTGAATTAATAAATAGGCAATTTATAGATTTTGTATATTCTACGAAAATTATATAGTGTATACATAGGTATATGCCTAATTTAAATTCAAATGCTTCATGTTCGAAATCGATGTTTAAAAGGGTTCGACTTATCGATATTTAACATAAGTATTATGGCCAGTTAAAGTACCATTTGAGTAATGCGACAACAGTCGACATCGATAAAATCTTTTAGATTCGTTAAGCTTATATATACAGATTTATTAATTATAATAAAATAGAAAATATTTAAATTTAAGTTCGATGCTAAGCGCAATATTTAAAAAAGATATAAATACGCTTTATAATTTGCTGCTGGCAATATCGATAGCTTATGTATCGGACAGCCCAATTATCTAGCATGTTCTCAGAAATCGATATATCGACATAAAGCCAACATCCCTCGTTTCGGTGTACAAAACGCAACAACAGCGCGTCGCGTTCGCACGGAGACCGCTTTGATAACAAACAAATTTCAGATATTTTTGAAACGGGCAAAGTTATTTTAATTGAACGTTCGAATTGCAATTCTCAATTGATGTTATTCATTTTGAATTTGTGCGCACTAGGCATACCATCAGTTAGGCGCGAATGCATGTCAACAGCAAGCTCGCGAAATGCAGCAAAAGTTTAACTGCGACAAGTGAATCAAAGTGTAAAAACCTTAGAAAATACGTAGCTGGTTTGCAATACAAGTTGCTTAATAAATTGTTTTTCAAAAAGGTAAAAATACACTGTGTGCTCATAAAATCATATTCACCAGTTTGCTAGAGGCGTACGTACATACATGTATGTGTGTGTGTGTGTGTGCTTGCGTATGCATGTGTGCGTGTGTGTAGGTGTTGTGTGTGGAATTATTAGTTTTTGTTGGTGTTGTTGTTGCCATTGTTGGGCTGACTGAGCGCAAAGAAAACGAAAAGCCAAACGCGTAAAATACAAAAGTGCATTCATCTACAACAATTGCGCGTGTTGATTTTGTGCTTGATTTTGGCCAAAGCAATTGCAAATAACAGTGAATCAATAATTGTTGTTGTGGCTTTTGCTGCAAAGCCCTTGAAGTGTTGCAGAGAAAAATACAAACAAACATACGTAAAGTGCCGAAAACGGAAACCAAAGCGCAAAACGCAAACGTTGTTTTTATTGTTATTGCCACAAACTGCATGATTAAGCCATATAAAACGTGCACATACATAATATAACAATATATATGTATGTATGTGTATGTGTACTGTGCAGCATTGTAGAATTGAATTCTATACAAATTTTCATTTTTGTTTACAATGCGTTTTGTTTTGCTATAAATTTTATGGCATACGCTTGTTTTCGTTTGCGCTTTGCTTTTGCGTTGCCGTTAAGTCTTATACGAGTCCAATTGGACTCCCGCAGTGGGGCTGTTCCTGCGAAAGCAAAAAAAAAAAAAAACACACAAATATTTCTGGCTAAATTCCTTCGCGTTAAATAAATAAATCCAAATGAATAAGCGTAAATAATTGTAATCATAAAATTTTATTAAAATCTAAAAAGGTTTAAGCAGACATCGCCAAAATTGATTTCCGTCGCATCAAAATCTTCACCTCAAAACTGGATTATAATAAATCCGTTGATATTGGAACGCAGCAGGAAAACAACTCTGGGGTAACCAACAAAATGGTCAAACGGTAAGTACAGACACACATACGTACATATGATAACATACATGTGTACATATGTATGTACAAGTACAATGTGGATGCATTTGCTTATCAAGCACACGCTGCAGTTCATTAACCCATTTGCAATTGGCTAAGAAATTAGCGACCGCCTCTCGTAGACATGCTTATTTTTAGAATATTCTTTTTGATTCATTGACCAGGGTCTATTGAACTTACGACTGGCGCTGATAAAGACGAATTATAACGCAATTTATTATTGTTAATTGCTTAGCACGAGTTAGGAGGCGGGTGGTGGGGTATGGTGAGGGGGGGAGGGGTGCTGGTTGTAGGGTTGCTTTTAACTGCGTCGCAGTCTGCATTCACATTGTTAGCATGACTTTCCGTTGTTTCCTTTTGCTTTATGTGAGCACAGTTATTGCTCCAACAACAACCCCCAATGCTGACAACAACAACAACAACAACAACAACAACAACAACAGAAAAAACACACCCCCTCGAGTGCAGCCACCACCAACAGTGTTGACAAGCGGCGTCGCATAAATTTTTGTCTGCGTTTTCCAAAAAATCCAAATGTAAAAGCACAAACAACAATAACAGCAACAACGATGAATAGCCCAACGCGGCATCAGCCTAACGCATGCGCCCTGACGTCACAACAACAACAACAACCACACTAGCTTCGTTTCTGTTTTGTCTGCATTTTGATTTTCTACACGGTTTTATGTTTTCTCATCTGTTGGGCACTCCAAAATAGCAGAACACACTGGCAACACTGACAGCGCTCTGCCTCCAACTCTTTCTGTGCCTGCATAAATAACTGCATACGTAGCACTCTCTCTCTCTCTCTCTCTCTCGCTCGCTTCTTCGCGTTCTATCTCTATGAATCTCTTCTTTTTATTTTTCAACGTTGGCGGCGCTTTGCCTTTGCCTCTGACAATATTTACCATTACTTTGTCGCGTTGTTGTTGTTGTTGTTGTGGTCCTACAGTTTTAGCAGGTTCTTGCAGTTGCTTTTTTACAGTTGCTTTTTCGGTCGTCGCGCCCCCACACACGCACACACACACACACATACGGACAGCATCAATAACAACAGCAATGTTTCTGTGCCTGTATTTGTCGCTTTGTTGTTTTACCTGCTTTTGTTCGCCTTTTGTTTTGACTAGTTTCGTAGTAGTTTTCTTTCCTGCCTGCCCTGCTGCTCATTTATCGATATTTATCATATATTTAATCTTATCGTTCACGCTGTCCTGCTCTTGCTTAGACTTCCTGTTGCTGCTGTTACTGTTGCTGTTGCATGTTTACCTGATGCCGACCTGTTCGCCTGGTTGTTGTTGTGGCCGTTGCTGTTGCTGTGCTTGTTCTTGCTTGCCGATCGCCTCCCTTTGCTTTACAAATCTTCAGCCTAGCATGTGTGCACATGTATGCAGGTTTTAATGTGTATGTGCCTGCTTTGTTGCTGCCTCTGCAGATCTTGCTGCCTGCCTGCGCTGTTTTGTATTTTGTGTTTATTAAATTTTCTTTATACATATGTATGTATGTATGTATGTGCATGGCATGCATGCAGTTGCCGTACGGCAGGCAGGCAGCGTTGCCTGCTTCAAAATTTATTTGTCTGCACGCTATTATATCCATTATGTATGCACATATGTACAGACATATGCATGGATTTATGCATGTACATACATATGTTTGTTTGTATTGTACGCTGTGCTGGGGAGTGTCTGTGTAGTCAATGGATAGGCTTGCCTGCCCCCTCAATCCCGCTCGCTCGCTCTCTCTCTTTCTCTCTCTCTGCTGTTGCTGCTGCTGCTGTTACTGTTACTGTTTGTTCTTTTTGGCGATTAAAATTAAATTTTAATGCCGCAGTTGCTGTCTGACGGCTGTTTTTGCTGTTGTGATGTTGTTGCTTTGTCTGCGCCTCTCTTTGTTTCATGACTTCCTTGTTTCATGGTAGCCAGTTCCCCCCCACTGCTGCCCAGCGCCCCCGCCACCGCTTTTGTTCCTGTTAACCTTCAGCTGCAGCCATGCTGTAAGCCTGTTGCGCTTAGCAACATTCTCTTAATTTATTAAGTGCAAATTTATTTATGAAATAACCCTCACACACACACACACACACACACACACATACGCATAATTAACCGTTATTATTCATGCTCATGATTCATTTAGTCATTTGTGTCTGTTTGCGGCCCAAGCGTGGGAGAGACAATAAACGCACACAAACATACATACATGAGAAAATAAACGCACACATACATACGTGCATGTAACCACATTTGCACACTTTATTCTCCAAAAACACACACATACTATGACACAAAACTATTTTGTGTAGGTGGTAAAATACATATTACATATTTCTGAGAACAGT